CGGTCAATAGCCTTGTCCTGCTCCAAATTTTTCAGGCAATCTATTAACTTCTTCTTGTAACCACTTCCAGTTCAATCTGGTCCAGAGGACCAGATTGAACTTTTTTGGATTTTTCTACCTGGATTATTGAGCATGCATCAGGACTACATTAATGTGATTTTGATGTTAAGCTTTTTTGTCTGTATCATCTTGCAAGTAATCATTTTGTCAATAAATGCAAAGAAATAAGTAAAGGAAGTAAATATTGAATGAAGAATAAATAAATGGAAACAACTAACTGGTTAACTTTACAGAATATTGTTCATTCTTTTATTTCACATTTAATGAGATAATTCTTTATGATTTGCATGAGCAGTGTCAACAACTAAAAATTCTTAATTTTCACGTCAAATACTTATGAAATACAATAAACATGACATAACAAAAAATTATGTTTAAGTTGTCAGTGGAAATTGATTACCATAACTTTGACATAACTGATTCCTAATTACAAAAACACAACTTTCAGATGTTCTTGTTTCCTTCATTCATTCAATTTCAGAGCTGTCAGTCAGAAACATAATACTCCAGCAGAATTATTTGCTAATAAAGATTAACAAGTAAATTTCAGTTGCAGCTTTTAGCAGATGTTTGTAACATTGTTTAGTTTTTTAATTATTTGTTTGTTCCTTGGTAGTTGTAGTAAAATAACCCTTAACAAGATTCTGAGTTTCTTTTAGAACAAGTCCTCATTCATATCAGAAATCAGCTGAGATGTTATTGCTGACTTGACAGTAACCATGACAACACCACCATGCAGAAAGCAGTGATGAGACTCATCTTGTGGATTTCACAGCTTGAGTATTCTGTAAATGCTAAAAAAAAGAAAAATAAGATGTTACTTTGGTAACTGTTAAATACTGTATTACTGTATATGTTTTGTATTTGCACTTTTTTTTAACTTAATGTCAAAATTAAACTCTACTTACGTATGCCCTCCACAAATATGGAGTTAAGATCAATGTTGAAGGTCGTGACG